AAATCAATTCGTTCTTTGCGTATACATAAAATTGCATATTCATCAAAACGTTGAGATATTTCGTTTTCAGGTATTTTGGAATTGATATCTTCTTAGATTTCTTTTGGAGGTTTATGTTTTTTAACATTTGAAATCATCAGTCAATCATTTCTAGCTTTATTGGCTTATCGAGTTTAGCTCGATTCAATTCGTAATAGTGTCTTACTGATTTGTAAATGATTTGATAAAGTGTGTGTGTGTGTAAATTGATCCTGAAACTTAAAATGACCTGATTGGTTCTTGGATCTGGTAATTCAAACAGCAACACATGTGGGACCACTGGTTAATATCTTGCAACGCATGGTGTTTTTTCTTGTTAACTGCACCTGTTATCTGGTATTACTTTAAATGATCCAATTAGCATTTCCTAATTGCTAATTCGAACAGCTGAACTAGTCCTTGTAAACAAGTTGCATTTTATTCCATGCAATATTAAGGGCTTGTACGTTTCGTAGACTCTAAATTTAGTACGAATCACAGTCTATTGGTTTGTTGTTGCTTATCGGTTGTCTTTGTGAAAATAATCTTCATTAAGCCAAGTATGCCATCAAAAATAAACTAGGCTAAATGGAAATATTTTGTTTATTATATCGATATTGTTTGAATTTTTTACATTATTTAATTTTATTACCTTCCTTAAGTAAACAAAATAAACCACCAGTTATTCATTTCATTTTTTGTTTTATTTGTCTTGTATTATCATTATGTTTTTCTAATGATTGAAAATGATTCACTTCCTATCATGTTCGTGCAGTGTGTCAGACGTTTTCATCGAATATAGATTACTCAGCTAGCTTAACTGACCCACTGACTGGTGTTGTTGTTGTTGTTGCGCCTGCTTTCTCTCGTCTTATTAATTTGTGATATAAAATAATACTGATATTAAATGATCATATGATTCTGAATTTCATTTATCTTGTCTTCTGACTAACAGTGCTATCATTCAAATAATTCAGAATGGTACATGTTATTCACTGTAATTGTCGTTATTCACTTCGTATTGATTTCTTTATCTGTGTCGGCTTAATTATTATTATTATATTTTGAATGAATGAATTAATGCAATGTTCAAGTAAAATTCTTAAGCATTATAAACTCAAGAATGTTTGTCAGTTGATTTTTAAGACATATTTTTTTTACTATCCTGTGACAATGGTGCTAGTCAATAAAGTGTGAGGACAGACTTAAATATCACAAAAACAGCTCAAATCTCGATGTTACCCCCTCTTGAGTGACATCTGGGAATTTCACAGTGTTCATTGGGGTTGAAGCGATTAACTTGTGAATAGAGTTAACCGTTTCAGAACAAGTGTAAACATCCACATGTCCAAAGTGTATTAGTCCGATTAAAGTTTCAGCTCTTGACTTTGTCTCTGATATATCGATTGCTAAGATCTATCTACTAATCAAACAGTTTATACCTACATAGTCAGTCAGTCAGTTACAACTTCATGGTCTCAGGATATCCAAACAATGTTTCGAAGACAAGTATGATGAATTACTTGTAATCTACGAATATCTTCTACTCTTACTGGCCATGTTTCGCAGCCATATAGTAGAACGAAGCGAACTGTTGCGCACTAGTCTCGTCCTTTGGTTAACAGATGGATATCTCTCCTGCGCCATAAGTGACACAAGTTGGCAAAAGCCAATCTAGCCTTCTCTACCCGCGCTGTGATTTCGGTAGTCACTAGGTCATCGGGACCGATGAGACTCCCAAGATAAGTGAAGAGGTCGACACGCTCGACTACTTCTCTCCCTATCATTACTTCAGGTGCCGACGCAGGCCAATCTTGAAGCAACATTTCGCATTTCGAGGTGGAGAATCGCATATCGAACATGCTTGCTTTGTCGCTTAGGGTAGTCAGAAGACTGCATTTTGTCAGTGTCTTCCCCAAGTAGAACGATGTCATCGGCATATTTTAGGTCAACTAGCGTGTCTCCTGGTTCACTCTTGAAAACTCAGACGAGGATAAAGTTAACTGCAAAAGCGTGTCTATGACAAAGTTAAACAGAAACGGGGAGAGTGGGCAGCCTTGACGGACACCACCTGAGGTAATGTGCGATGAAAGTTCTTGATAAGCTCTAACTCGACCAGTAGTGTCCGAGTAGAGAGCTTGTGTACGGTCAGTGTACTCTTCTCTTGTACGAGTCCCTATGTTCTAGGACCTGATGTAGTGTGAAAATATGATCTATTCAGCCACGTCCAGATCGAAAACCAATCCGGTCTTCTCTAGTCTGCTCTTCACGCGTTCTAGTTAGGCGTAGGAGGCTAACTATTTAGACACTATTAGTCAAACTGATTCCTCTGTAATCGTCACAAGAGGACTCTTCTCCTTTTTTATAGACTGCGTCAGTCAGGGATTGAGACCAGTCGGATGGGGTTACGTCCAGTTCGCAAATTCTACCTAAGATTTCAGTCAATCTAACTTCTTAAACTAGACTACCTTTCGTAGAAATCTCAGGGGTAAACTTGTCAGGCCCTGCTGCTCGACCTCGCTTCACATTTCCTGTAGCATTTTAACTTCATTGGGAATTGATGGACTTACATCAATTCGCGCCATTCAGTTTGACTGGAGATCGTGGGCAACCAGAGTGTAGCTAAAAGCCAGTTGAATTGATCCTTGAAGTGTTCTGACCATCGATCCAATCTTGTGGATTGAGAATGAATAATACAGTCATCGTTTTCCGAGATAATCGCTATCATTCAGATTTCTAACACCGGTTTCCTTGCTAAGTCTGAACAGTTGTCTACTGTTACCTATTGCCACTGTCTTTTCCATCTCTTGCTTTCGCTACCCACCACTGTTTGCGATCGTTGCGTAGGCTTTTTATCGGTCTGCGCTTGATCTGAGTTCGCTCTTGGTCATCTTCAGAGCTGCAGGTGCTGGTTGTCCGAGGGAAACACCTTATTGCTGTCACAACCTCCTATAGTCAGTAGTACGACTCCGCCCTTAGACGTTGAGTAGCTGCTTTTAGTCTCATCGTCCCCCACAGACCTGCCTTGCATAGTAGAACCTACAAGAACACATGTTCCAGCCAATATAGCTCGGTTGGGTTATCACACTAGGCAAACTCGATCACCACATCAAGGTAGTATCTCCATTATTACTATATCAGAGAGCTTAACATTTTGGAGGGGTTTAAAGAGGATTGATAAAACTTATCTTTTATGTCGTCTGAACTGCATTCAGTGGGAGCGTAGGCAGATACAACAAATGAGGGAACGGCGAGTGTCCCTATCCTTCCGAGTCCGTACCGTCCCATTTAGTCGGACAGCGCATAAGCGACTGTCTATCGTGATCCAGTCTAAGAGAGCTAGTTCTGCCCTAGGACTTAGTACTATACATACACCGGTGAGGCTATGCGAGCTGGCATCAGGGCTTCCAGAAACACGATGCCTAAACCCTGTTGTCTCTCTGTCTGCAATAGGTGAGATAAAATTGATGATTTTACTCCGATCTTGTATGCGCGTTTTGGAGACGTAGTATAAATTGATGGCGCGAGATTCTAACGTCCTAGCTAATGATGTCTGTTGCTTTATTTGGCATAGGGTCCGAACATTAAAAGCTCCTATATGTAATTTAGTACGGGGTTTCAAGAGACCAGGGATAATGTTTCTAGAGCTTGTACCGTTTGTTTCAGTGTTGTGAGGTGATAAACGATCAAAAGAACGGTTGGTCGAGGAGATAAGAGAGTTTGTAAGAGGTGTAGAAAGAATATAATTGTGGCCAATATGGTCTCCGATTACTTCTAACACTTTTACTACCTCTACTACTATGGTATTTGAACTGACAATTACATATCTGTGCTAATGTGGTATGGCGACTTGAACTGATGTACTTACGTACGAAGTTCTACGTTGTAACTGACTGGTAGTTTCTCCGATCGGGTTACCAACACAAAAAATTAATCAATCACATATTCTCTAAGTACAATTTTGTTCCTTTTAAATCACTAAATAATTGTGGTAGAGCAGTCGAAGGAAATTAGATTTCAGGTCTTTTGTCACCATTAGCTTTTAATCTTCGCTAGTTTCCAATATGGTTTAATTATCCCAATGAGTAAGATAGGGTGTAATATACCGTTTCCCTTCATCTTTCTTTCGTTTATGCTTCTTTCTCGTTTTCCTTCCTATTTCTAAAGTGTTTTGGACATACATTTATAGTAGCAAGTTTAGGGAGAAAAATTAGTGGCAAGCCTAATTATTTGTATTAATTAAACTATCCAGCCGTCTGTTGAATAGTTTTCACTTCTTATGATATCTCTGTGTGAGACAGGAATTTCGTTCGCTTATCTTTAACAAGAATTATTCCATCTTGTTGCATGCTTGTTGATAGAATTTGTCAATCAGTTTCCTCTTAATGAAACATGTTGGTCTTCAAAGTTTGCGGCTTGGTTTTGTGGAAGTTTTTTAAGTTATACCGTTTGTGATATTGCGATTATTTACGAAAATAACTTAAATGATTATGTCATCAGTAGATTATTCATCAAAGACAAGATTGATTACATCTTGTTGCTGAAATAAACACATTGTTTGATTATAAAGGCATAACCTCTCCTTTTTGCGTTGTGGTGATTTTTGTACTAATGATTATGCTTTAGGTTTGAAACCTTTCTTACCATTTCAATCTGCAGAACAATCATGTATATTGTCTTGTTGAAATGTTTGAATAATACGATCTCATCACTTTTTATCTTCGTGACACAATCAGCCATTTGTATTCCAACCTTGATTTGCCTCTTATCTTTAACACGTTTCACTAAAAGCTCAATGTTTGATTTACTTACCGACTTAAATTCTTGCATGTAACAACTCATTCTGTTACTTTATTTCTTGTGAAACAAAATATTATACTGAAGCTCACCATTTCATTTTTAGCATATATATATATATATATATATATATATATATCCCAGGAGTAATTTTACTGTTTCAATTTGTTTGGTTCTTTTTCTAGCTGCTTTATTGAATGCTGACACGAATAAACTACTGCAATTACAACAAGCTAAATTAATAGCTCAGCATCAAGTTGGCTTAGTGGAACAACAATTACGTCAACAACAACAGCAACATCAGCAGCAACAACAACTTTTAGCCGCTGCAGCGGCTGCCAACAGTTTAATGCAAAATCCCACTATAAATGGTAACAATCTATCAAACGCCTCATATTTTCAAGGTTTCGGCACATATGGTCGTACATCACGACCTGGTTCAACTATCCCACCTTCTATGCAGTCATATTTATCCCCGGCAAATTTATTAGCTGTCCAGCAGCAGCAACAACAACAACAACAACAGCAGCAAATAGATGCAAATCAATTATTACTAAACGATGCAAATGTCCAAATGTCAAACTTGAATTTTACCGGCTCTCCATCTGTAAATTTATTGAATTCAGAATTGAATGACTCAGCCGGTATAAACAAATCGTCCACGGACTGTGGCGGTGGAGGAGGAGGAGGGTCAGGTTCAGTAGTTTATGAGAACTCCTACAGCCCATTTAACAAGTAAGCTTTTGAATGATCTTATTTTCAATTTTTTATTTTATAGTATTCTTATTTAAACTAATATACATTTGCTATATAGACTGTAAGCTTAGTCATTTCAGTTGGCTGAATGCTGATTTACATTCTCTTTTTTATCCCTCAGGGATCGAATAATATTACTTTTGTTTGCCTAATAGAAATATCATTGTTTTTTCCCAAGCAATCTCAATGAGTCGTGACGTTACATTCACAAAATTGAAACGTATTTTTCTGTTATATTTTAAAATCTTTTTTGGTTAAGAGGCTTGTTTTCGTTTCGAATCCCACCCCAACCATTTTAGCTTGGGCGATCTAGTGGTATCATTACTCTCCATACTCAGTGTCGCTCATGCCTGAATATCTTAGTGAATGAGTCAGTTTATCTTGTATAGTTTAGTTTGTGAAAGATTTCACGAACCCTAGAGTAAAATTTTGATTCGCACAGTTTACTGAAAATCTTTTTTCCGTGACGGAATTCAATTGCTACTATCTTTAGATTCTATTGTCCGTAGTTTCATCAGTTGAATGAGCTGTTTACTCTGAAACTTCCTCTTAGTATTGATTATTTCACGCTTGTCTACATGTTATTCTGGTTAGTTTAAAATCTTAGGTAAATCTACTCATACCTATGTCTTACACTCTGAATCACATCCATCGGCAAATACCTAATGATAATACCTGATTACAATGAGCAACTTCTCACTTCATAGTGGATTCAAGTTTAATGCCTTCATTTCTGAGATTCTTCTTCTAGGTTCTCCAAACTATGCTTGCAACACCTGGCATCCTTTAAGTTTTTCCCCTGAGTTGTATTATTTTGCGTAATTTTTCTAATACATATTATATATAGATTTGGCTAAGTAAATGCAAAAATACTAATGTCGATCATGATCGCCATCCTCTTATTGAAAATTTATTGGGTTTTTCTGCTTCATAATGTAAAGCTCTATTACTCTTATTTCTTATCAGCACTAATTTTACTCTGCGTCTTACAATCCAGTTTTATCTCGTCCTCACTTTATCCCTTGTTCAACTGCAACCTCCATTAATCTTACATTCGTGTTCTCATATGTCCAGTGTTATTTTTGTTCAAAACACAAATAATATTCTCTTTAAAACCATGGCTATCTCTTAAAATTCTTCTCAATGCAATTGAAGATCTACTTTGACATCGGCATACTTGTATCATCCGACATTCTCTTTCAACATAAACTTCTCAATATCTTATTGCTGTATTCTAAAAAAGACATTTTCGTTGTCATGTATTATAAATACCGTCAGTTGTCCTGTCATAAATGTTCATTTTTCATATCAGCTTCGATTGTTTAGCAAATAGAAAAGTAATTCAGTAGTCACTTACTTTTACTTTTACAAAGCTTCTCGTAATCTAGAAGCCATATCTACTCAATAATATACCGTCAATAAAATGATTATTATTGCTTAACGGTAGATCCCATGCATAAAAATGACTGCAAAACAGAATTTTTTTTGGATTGATTATTTTGGAAAGGTAGTATCTACTAGTTAGTGTTCTTCTTCAACCATTTTTAGCTTGTAGTGGGTTGTTAGTTAACTAATTCAGTGGCTAATAATAAGATACTGGTTATACTTATGTATCTGAATTTGTTAGATAATGCCTTGTTTTATTCTTATTTTCGATCCGTAATGTTTTTAATTAATACCAATACTGTTAATGCTATTATAACACTCAGGGATTGGATCTGACAATTTTCTCTCGCTTTGCTAATATGATACGGCAACTTGAAACGATTTACGTACGTGTCAAGTCCTGCATCACATTACCTACTGACCGATTCTATCAGAAATGTACACTGTGGCTCGATAAACACGCCTAAAGGTTTGTGGTATGAATAATTAATGTGAAGAACAACTTATCTATTCTTTCATTACTGTTTGTAAATCATCAATATCACATGTGGATGAGCAGAAAGAATTGTACATTGATTCAATTCGGAAGTGAATAGTACTGAGTTCAATGCCGGGAGTGCTAGATTAATTCCGATCAATTCAATGCCGCTTACAATAGTTTTCAGTCTAATTCAACCGATCCTATTTGAATAAATAATGGAATTGTGATTTCTGTTATTAACCTTTATTTTTGTCCTTATTTCATATGAACAATACTGAATGCTATCATTAAACATTTATTCGTTTTATTAAAATTGATGAAGCTGTTACATTGAAATAGTGATGTCAATAGTAAAAATAGTTAAACTGTTGACGATAATGACTGTATTCTGTATGTTGGTATGTGATTGTTAATTGTCCTTGTTTATGCATATATGTATTGACTAGTCTTGTCACTATTATTACCGTCATTATTATTATTATTATTATTATTATTATCTATGTTAAATGTTAAACATAAAAACTAGGTTATCAGTATCATCCTTTTGACATTTTGAACAATCAAATAATTTATATTCAATCACCAATAACAATCAACCCAAAAGTCACTGATAGTTGGTCTGTACCGAAAAATTTAGTTGCTTTGCAGTTGCTCATTCATGATTATCTTCTCGTTAGGTTGAGACTAAACTTGAAGCATTTCAAGCATATCTCCTCATGAATATACAATCGGTTTATTGACATTTTTATTACTGGCCCCCCACCAAGCCCTTTATAAATTTAACGTGCATATTCATAAAATATAAACACTTTTAAATATGATACCAAATAAAATACATCAGCAGTATGGGCACAAATTTTATTTTCTGTGTTTTTGTATCCCCGAAAACTCCGGTAGTCATTTTCTGCTTCTTTTGTTACTAAATGGGATTTAAGTGTGGTGCGACTGATCGCCAGTAGTGAATAGCTGGTGAAGGTGAAAGTTATGAAATAAGTAAAAATGACGGTTTATACGACGATTGTAAGCAATATGAGTTGATAGTATACAATATTGTTTCAGATTCTTTATTGATGTAGTATTATTTATGAGTATTCATAAAGTGTACTCTCCGAGATCCAACCTTAGTTGTTTGAACTCTCGATTCTTACACAATCTTTTCTGAATTCAAATTTGCTTTCAACTATTTTATTTTAGATATACGGATAATATTTACGTAATACAATAAGTACTAATTTGTATTTTGCTGCTAACTTAAACTACTAAAAGCAGTATCACGTATTTTAATAAGTAAATCACTGTTTACAGATAAATATATTTTAACAATATACTTAATATCTATTCACGGATTCTCTACACTATTTGTTTTGACATAATACATAAAAACGTATTAATTATATTATCTATAATATGTCTTTTAGTGCTTGAAATCTATTTATGTGCTTGTACAATGATGGAGGAACTAAAGAAAATTGTATTACAGTAGTAATAGCGACTTACCAGTCAGTCAAATCTCATAAGCTACTTTTATATAATTCCATTCTGATCCCATTAAAACTTTATAACAATTATCTACTTATTTCTTACTAATTTGATTATTTGTTTCACTGATAAATTATTCCGCTCAACTTATATTATATACTGTAAGTATTTGTAATCATCAGTTTTACTGAAATCCTTTCTTGTTACAACGAATAATGAAAATATCAAACTGGTATTAGGTTTTTTTTTTATAATCCTGTTTCTGTAATTGGTTGTTAATTGCATTTTCTTAATAGTCTGCATCTGTATGTATACCTTGCTAAATATCATAACTTTTTGCCTTCCATTTTTCGTCTACTATTTTTCTTGCGAAATAAACACATTCGATCTAAGCTAATATATTTTTTAGAGATAACTAACTATAAGGCTATAATACTGTTAGTGATATTTTCACTTGTCTAGTCCTGTAATTACTTATCACTAATCAACAAAGGTGAAAAAAAAACTTGGTAGATAGTTTACGGAGTAATATTTTTATCTTTATGATCAAAAGTTATCAGTTTATATGAATAAATGAATTATTGGATAGATACAATAATAAAATAATTCATCTCCATTGTCCTTGAAAATGCTTTGCTTTTTTGCATGGTATTTCACAATTTCACTGTTCTTAATAAGTTACTAATCTTTACTATTCATTGAGGGGGCTAAGATGTGTGTTATTCATCCTCACCACCGCCTAATCAAACGTCTACTGTTGGCTGCCATAAGATTACGTTATAAAAAAAAATGAACTCGACCACATCAAGGTACGATATTAATTAGTCATTGGCTAGTACTCTAAGTCGTACCAGTAATCGTAAACTTCATAATTGAAGCCTACCCAATAGGAAGGTATTGAATGACAACTGGGAATCTTCGATATCATTTGTTCCTCCTAAACCATTTTCCTTATGTTTATTCACTAACTACCACCGGGAACTAGAAATATTTACATTGTCAATCAGTCGGTTACAAAGTGCATATGTACATACATCAGTCCAAGTTGCCATACCCCATAACCACTTAGCGTTAAAATTATCAGCTAAACCCCGATTGTTGACGAGTAAGTAATTTCTCACTTTTACAAAAGATGAGTCTTAACCCAACTAACCGAATGCTAACGTCTCTGGGTGCTGTGACATGAGTCCCCATAGCACGGAAAGTTTCACTCTTCTTATTAGACTGTAGATATTTCTGATTGGTGTGCATCAACTAACACTAAAGATACGTTGAAACTTTCTTTCTCATTCCTTTCAATCATCTAACATATAACAATGTTCACTTCAATAACAATTTTCCTAGTCCCATTGACTGCGTCATCAGCTTTACAAAAATAAGATATTGATTAATGTTTTTTTTTCTGTAATCGTTATTTACTTTACACAAGAAATAAAATATGGTTGCCACCTGTTTATTCAATTTTCGAACCTTAGTCAAAACAGGAAATCAGTTTTACGATTAAGCTAATCGATAAAATTGCTTAGTTGTACTGCAGTATTTGGTTTGTGGGAACTATCCAGTCTCTTTTTCTGTAAGTATTTTTTTCGAAGTTAATGAACATTAAACGCATTCATCTTAGTCGTTCTTCAAC